AAATCTTTGTAGGGTACTGAGAGACTATTGAACTGTTTAGGGTTACTTTGGGGTCCTACTTGGTAGAACGTTACCATAATGTACTTTGTTTATTGCTTTTCGAAAAATTCGGTCATTCTGAAATATGTACCGGGGTAGGAAAATGCAGTGTGATTAGAAAATGCTTTACAACGAAGAAGAGGCAATAAGGACGCGTCACTAAAGAAAAGATAGATATTGAGATGTTGTATAATAACGCAATCACTAGGTGTTAAACTAAGGAAAAATAATAAAAATTGAAGTGTAGAAGAGAAGAATCATCTGTTCTACGCAAAAAATCGTGGATTGTGAAAGCACTTGTTGGAATTATTTTTAAAGTTATTTTAAGCGGGTATTGCTAGAAAATGGCAATGTCTGAAGCAAAAGATTACAACGTTGACACTAAAGGCAAAGGAAGCCTACGATGCTCTTCGAAACATATCTAACCGCATTTTTTGATTTTCACTTCACGATGTTACAGTACACGATAGAAATTCGTTCTTCTAGATGATAACGGATCACTGCTTTAGTTAACGAAAAAGGATGCTTAACCCGTTCATCATTGATTTTTACCTAGACATGACAAGAGTTGATTCTTCAACGAAGGTGGCTGGATGAAAGATATCTATAAGGAAGAAAGTAAGCTGCGTAAAATAAGGTTCACATAAATACATATATCAGGCAATTTTCCTAGAAATGTTGTTATCGCAAACAACTAACCCAGTAGCTCATTTGCTTTGATAAAAAATAACGTATTCCGTCTTAGAATCATAATAGTAACGTAAATAAGTATTGAATAACTACGATCAAACCTGTTACTATTTGTACACTTGATAGTGGAGAAGCGCACCGTATCCATCTGCACTGAAACAAACAAACTGCTGAAACCACTTTAATCCGTCGTTGTCATGAAATGGAGTGGAACTGTTCAGTTCAGTTCAGTTCTTACAACTATTAACGTTGCAATTTCGTGCTCCTGTTTAGGTTACTGTCTTTTGGTTGCCCATTTGGATAAAACAGTAGAATGATGATTAGAATCTTGAGAGCAGATTCAAGCAGAAGATAGCGCATTTACATAGACTGAAGCTACAAGAATAAAAAGTAGATGCATGAGCGCCAATGTTTGCGACATGCAACCATATCGCTCAGTGTCCCTAACCATCGGTGACCATCATCCCGAGGTCCCCAGCAAAAGAGCATAACTGGACCTATGTGAGCCAGTCAGGGATTTCACACCCTCATGCCAGATCTTAGTTTCATCGCCCTTGATTTTTCTCCAACTTCTACCTACCTCGAAATCTATCTGGTGACATGCGCAGCACATGTCCCAACCAGCAAAATCTATGGAGGTTGACTACTTGCTCCAGTGGACCACAGCGATTACCCAAAATAATACGCCTCACCTCAGCATTGCTAGTCCGGTTATCCCACCAAACTCGTGCAATGTTACGTAGACAGCGGTGTTCAAACACCGACAGTCTATCTTTATCCTGTTTTCTCAATGGCTAAGTCTCTGCAACGTAGAGCAGGACTGGCCAAACTGCTGCAGCATACACTCGACCCTTCACAGACAGCCGGATGTCGCGACGATGCCACAGATGTCGTAAGTTGGCAAATGCCAACCGAGCCTTCTGTATGCAAGCTGACACTTCATCTGTGATGCGTCCACCAGGTGAGATATAGCTGCTCACATAGCAATATTTGTCTACTTTCTCTACTACTTCCTCAGTCAAGGAGAGGTTGGAGATTGGGCCAAACCAATCTTGGAGCAGAATTTTACACTTTGAAGGTGCAAAACGCATACCGAACATGATTACACCAACACTCAAAGTATCCAGAAAAGCTTGCAACTTACCTGGATCGTCACTTAGTAGCACAATGTCGTCTGCATACTCTAGATCAGACAGTCTGCCACCCGGAAGTAAATCGATACCGCTATCCCTACACGAAGATAGAGCTGTTTCAAGAATTAAATCTATAACAAAGTTAAATAGAAAAGGAGAGAGAGGGCAACCCTGTCGAACACCACTTTCCGTGGTGAACTCGGGCTAAAAAGTGCCGTAAGCTCGAACTCGGCTTCGGCTATTATTGTAGAGGGATTGTAATATTGAAATTAACTTCTCTGGCACACCCTTCAGGGAAAGGCAGCGCTAGAATTTAGAGCGGTTGACTGAGTCGAAAGCCGCTTTCAGAACCAGGAAGACGGAGAAGGTGGGTCTACGAAAAGTGTGCAGTGTGAATAGCTGTCAGTAACTTCTAAAATTTAGAATGGCTAATCATTAAACAATTTCGTGAGAGAAGTTCAACACTAGGACGGATGGAAGGAGGTTTTCCAGAAAAGAAAACAAATATGAAACATAAAATGACCATTTGGGGGATTAGATTCAACAGGAATGTTTGATTATATGTATAAAAATATTATTTTACTTCTTATTTATCGATTTATGGTAAAGTGTTAAAAATAGAGGCTGTGATTGGTCAAAATGGTCGGTCGCAGTGGTGGCTGCAGCGGTAGAACAGATGAGCTTAGATGTTAATAATGTTGATCTAACTCACTGGACTGTCAGTGAAATAAGTCCCACACTTGACACCCTTTGGAAATCTTAAATTAAAT